TCTACAATACTGGAAAGGAAAAGAAAAAAAAAGTTTTAACATTCATAATGCCAAAAATAATAATAATAATAATAATAATAATAATAATAATAAATACAAATCTTTCCAGAAACAAGCACAATCCTTAGGTCTTGACTGTAGAGTAGAGTGATATTACTCATAAGAGCTTCCTCTCGATTCTTGCCAATAGAGGTCTTCGGGCCAGGAAATGCAAAGCTCTGCTTGAGCTTCAGAACAGTCTTATAATACTGAACTGCTAGCCCACTGCCAATCTTCCTCCCTACTCAAAGTGGAAAAGAAAAAAAAAAGATAAATACTAAGGTAAATGTGAGAGATCTGAGTAGCAAGGAAACCTAATCTGTACCTTTTTAAAACTATTATTTTTATTTTATGAGTGTATTGCCTGCATGTGCACCCATGTCGTGCAATGCCTGTGGAGGTCAGAAGAGGGTGTCGGATCCCCTGGCACTGGAGTTTAGGACAGTTGTTAGCCACCATGTGGGTGCTGGGAATCAAACCTGGGTCCTCTGTAAGAGCAGTCCATGCTCTTAACAGCTGAGCCAGCTATCCGGCCCCCTAATCTGTACCTTTTAATAGGATTCATTTTCATTTCATCACTTTATAGGTTAAAAAATGAAATGTTTCTCAGATTTCAGCTGGATTATCAAAGTGCAAAATATAGTTATATCAAAAGCGTTTTCTCCTATAGGAGTTTTCATCACAGTTTTTATCCTCAACATACAATAAAAAGTTGAAAGAAGCCAAAAGCAGACTCATGGGCCTCTAATCCGAGCACTGAGAGGCTGAGATGGGAAAATGACTTGAGCCTAGGAGGTGGAGGCCAGCCCAAGACTGCCTCAAAAAAAGGTGAAAGAGTTCATTTTCAGAGACTCCAACAAGAACTGGATTTCAAATTTACTACAATTTAAAATCCCTTCAAATAAACTGCATAGTTTGAATGTGAAATATTACCTTCTATTCATATGTTTGGACACTTGGCCCCTAGCCGGTGATACTGTTTTGGAGGCCATGAAATCTTTAGGACGTGGGACCTAGTTGGAGGAGGTGGGGCGACTGAGGACAAAGCCTGAGGTAGAGTTCCTGGCCTCTGCTTCCTGATCAGCATCATGAAACAAGTAGCTGTCACACACTCCCACTACTGAGGACAAAGCTGATCCAGTTGCCATACCTTCCCCACAATTGTGAATGTCCCGTCTGAACTGTGAACCAAAACAGATCTTTCCTCAAATTATCTGTGTCAGGTATTCTGTCACAGTAAGTAGCTAATACAACTCCCTTAGCATATCACTCTTCTAAAGCTGAAAAATGTTTTCCAAAGGGTGTTTTCCCTGTTTACCGATATCACTACCACTGTAAGAAGGAAAGATACTGCACATTACCTGCCCTTGGGGGAAGATCTCTGTCAACTTAATTAGACTGAAAAAGCACCTAGATTAGTAAAGAACAGCTCTGGGTGTCTGTGAGGGCATTTCCGGAGAGGACTAACAGGGAAGACCTGCTTTGACCTGTGGATGGCACCTCACAAGCTGGGGTCCTGGATGATGTAAAAGGGGGAAAGGGAGAACACAGTCTCTCTGCTTCCTGGCCACCAAGATGTGAGTCATGATGGGCTGAGACCTCTAAAAATAAATTCTTACTCTCTCATACTGTTTCTGTCAGGAGTTTTAATAAAGTGACAAAAAGTGTGACTAACAGAAAAATTATGAAACGCAGGCAAAACTATGCAATGTTTGCTTGATATCACACAAGAAAATAGTAGTGAGTTCAGGACCTTTAAGTGATGGAGTCTGAATGTTAGTGGAAGCATTCCACCAATGTCACTGACACATGGTGGTTACTATGGAGGCTGAAGCTAAAGTCACACATGACTACAAAGACTTCTCCAGAGTTATTCAAAAGAAATTAATGTTCTCTATGTAATAATTAACCTGTTCACAACTATTCTAAAGGAACAAATGGAAATGAGACGGGGTCTCCTTGTAGCCTCAGCTGGCCTGGAACTCACTATGTAGACCAAGATGGTCTCAACCTCACAGAGAGCCACCATGTGAGTGTGGGAGCCAAATGTAGGTCTTCTACTAGAGTAGCCTGTGCTCCTAAATGCTGAGCCATCTCTCCAGCCCCCAAAATGTAGTAAAAATAATTTTTTTTAACTGGGTGTGGTGGTACACACCTTTAGTCCCAGCACTTGGGAGGCAGAGGCAAGGGATCTCTGTGAGTTGGAGGACGGCCTGGTCTACACAGCCAGTTCCAAGCCAGCTGAGGCTACAGAGAGACCCTGCCTCAAAAAGATGTGTGTGTGTGTGTGTGTGTGTGTGATATATGTCTCAAAAAGACATATATATATATATATATGTATGTGTCATATATATGTGTGTGTCTCATATATGTTTATATATATATATATATATAAATTTTTTTAAAGAAGCTACCATTATGCCTGCCCCACCAATATTTGAGTGTGTGCATGTGGAATTAACTAAAACAATATGATACAGAGCTCTGTGCCCAGAAAATCACTTTGAAAAACCAAATATTTTAAAGACTTCCTAAAAGAAAAAAGCTTAAAGACCATTATCTAAACAGAGTTAAAAAACAAAACAAATTTGAGCTTGAGTTGTAGCTCTATAATAGAGTAGTAGCCTAACATCTAAAACCCTGGGTTCAATTCTCATCACCCCAGAAAGTACAATATTAACAAATTTTGTCCACAATCATTCTGCTGAGTTTAAGCATTTGCATTTCTTTAACACACTGAATGTTTTTTAAAATGCAAAACTGCCGAGCATAGGAATACTTTTCAGCACTTAGGAGTCAGTGGTAGAAGAATCTGTGAGTTCCAGGCCAGTCAGACCTACATAACAAGTTCCAGATCAGCTAGAGCTACACATTGACACCCTGCCACCACACAAACAAACAAGAAGCCAGAAAATAAAAATAAATTTTTAAAAATTTAAAATTATGTAAAGAAACCAAAGTGTACTAAATTATATCGCTAATAGCAATTGCTGAAGTATGTTTCATGCCTCAGCTTAACACTATACAATCCAGCAGTTTATGAGTTTTTCTGCTAACATTAAGACCCAATTACATTTTTATAATAGAATTGCTTTCCAAAGTATTTCACTTCAGCTGAAAATGTCAATTTCATTATGGGACATTTAAATTTCTGAATGTCAAGCAGGAAGTGGTGATGCAGTACTCAGTAAGCTGGGACAGGAGGATCACACATTAGAAGCCAGCTCAGCTACCTACATCTAGCAAGACCTCAACTCAAAACAGGAAAGAAAAAAAAGTCAGTTAGCTTTAGGCAGTTTGCCTTAATTAAATAAAAATCAAACTGAGACACAGAATAAACACATCTGAAATAACATTACTTTTAATTACTGCTTACCTACTACTGAATAATCTTTTTATTCTCTTTCAGTGCTAGGAATCAAACCTGGGTCTCACGCATGCTAGGCAAGCCCCAAGAAAGGAAGACCTTTAAAAGCAGGCCATATTTACTTCAATTACGATTACATTTAGTGATACTGTTTCTAAACTTCTGTCAGATTTAGTTTGTCATAATCGGGAGCTGTCTCAAAAATTTCTTAGAAAGACACATGCTATATAACAAGAATGCTATGCTAGGGTTTTTTTGTGGTTTGTTGTTCTTTTGGTCTGAGACAGGGTCTCCCTGTAGCCCCAGCTGGCCCCAGTAAACTTGCTATGTACAACAGGCTGGCCTCAACCTCAGAGAAGTTCCTGCCTCTGCATCTCAAGTGCTGGGATTAAAGGAATGTGCCACCAAGGCCCACACTATGATATATTTAGATCAGACTACACCACTAGCTGATGTGAATTTTAAAATTTGAGCCAACAAAACCTGAAATTAGCTACAGGTGTCACCACCATAAAGCGATAGAGGCCATATTACTCCACTTTCTATGTTTACCATAGCAGCTGGCTAATTTTCTCGTTGAATGTATGTGGCATCTTTTTTCCTATCTATGCTAACCTATATATAAGTACTGCAAATAAACACTTAACCTCTGCAACACAGATGCTCTATTTGTTTTCTCCAAATTTTATGTTGCAAAGCCTCCAAATTTTAATTGCACCCCAAAGTATTCTTTTTAGTGATGACTTTTTAAAGGTAACTCTACTTGAAGTCAATAAATATGTCGCTCAGTTAGTGGCAGAGAAATAACTGTATGTTGGTGGCTAAAGCCCAGTAGTTGCAGTATGTAATGCTTAACCGTTGTTTCTAATGCCACTAGGCTGACTCAGACCAATGAGCTCTACGGATGCCACTACCTAATGCAAGTTTGTCAGGATGCAAAGTCAGCGCTGCAGACTCCAGAATTTACTCACCCACTGTACCTGACTCTCATATATAAACAGAGGTTTGTTTATCTAATTCAAGGGTTCTTGCCTGAAGAAAATGTAGTGAAATGCACATCATTTTGGGGGAAAAATGTTCTTTCCCTTCAAGATGATTGCTAAAATCAGCTGAAGAATGCTGTTTACAAGGATAATCTGGGTCAGTAGTGGATCTGATATATGATGAAGTTTTCAACCCTGCCAAGTATCAATACTGCAACATAAAATGGGCAAATACGCGATGTAGGGACAAAAAAGACAGCTCTTGTTTTTGGCGACCGTGTCTGCATCACGTGCCTGAGGACCACACAAGCTGGGATACAAAAATGTTGCAGCCTGAAGAGAGCTTCGCACTCAGATCCAGCCCGTCGCCATCCAACCTCTGGTGCCCAGGACCCATGAACCTGTATTAAATATCCCCAGCCCAGGACATCAGACTCCCTGGAGCCCAAAATCCACCCTGATCTTCCCACGAGAAACACGTAACATCCCAAACAAAGTTCACAGCATCTGCATGGCACTTCCCTTCGGAACTCAGACTCGCGACCGCGCCCTCCGCCCGGGCCTGGCTAGCTCCCTGGGTCCCGGGTCCCCCGCTCGGCCCCTCTACTCACAGGGTGGCGGCATCGGTGGACAGCGGGCCCGATAGCGCCCTCCAGCTGGGCGCCGGCAGCTTCCTGCGACTGCAGTCCAGCAGTGGAGGGCGGCAGACACAGGGTCCCGGGCATGGACCGGCCAGGGCGGAGGGCAGCAGCAGCAGCACCTGCGCAACGAAGAAGAGCCGCGCGAGCGGTCCGGACCCATAGCCCAACTGCATCTGCTCCAGTACGCCGCGCGGCGTGGGCGCCATCTTCCCCCGGCCGCGACCCGCTCGAGGACAGCCGCCAGCTAAAAGAGGTGGCTGAGGAGAGACGCCCGGCGGCTGCGCGGCCACCCGAAGCCCCGGCCGTCGCCGGTTCCCCTCTCAAAGTAGGCGAGAGGCGGCAGCCGCACGACACTGGGGGCGGCGATCGCTGGCATACGGCTGAGACCCCACGGACACCGCTCATCTGCCCCGCCCCACGACGCAACGTCCTCACGCACAGAAGCCAGCCAACCGGAGCTGCAGGACGAGGTTGCGTCAGGGGTGGGGGTCTAGACGGGGCGGGATCTGAAATCTCCCCGCCCTTCGGAGGCGGTATTAAGGTCAACCGCCCTCCCCTTTGGTGCTCCTCCGCCGTTTCTCCACTGGAGGGCGCAGTGGCTCCTTAAAAGAGAACCGTGGACAGCTGCCCCGAGAGCGGAGTTCTCAGTTCTACAGGCTCCAGGAAAACGGAAGGGCAGAACGGCTGCCTTCCAAGCCACTGACTGACACAAATGAGCGCCAGATCCAACCTAGCTTTGGCCACATTGGCCTCGGGAGCCCAAGTAGGGCCTCTTCTGCCCCGGGCCAGAAACAAAGCATGCTCCCACTGTTGAGGAACTGTAAGTTCCTGATGACAGAGCCGCTGTTTACTCCTCTGTGCACCTATAGCTTCTACTGCGATTCAATAAATGCTGAATATCTATCTCTAAATTCTTTCCTCAGTTGGGGAGGGTATTGTTCTTCACACACATCTTCAGGAAAACAAGCAGGGCAGGTCGATAAAGGATTGGTTTGAGGGCTTGGATTTTCTGCGTTTTGCTCGTGGGTTTTTGGGCAGTCAGCAAAGTGAAGGCTGGGAAGGAAATTATCCTGCCTAAACCAGATGATTTGGAAGACTGATTGTGACAGTGGAATCTAGCTCCCTTGTCTCTCTCTCTCAGCGAGTATTACATCCAAATGAGTTAGACTTTGACAGTATCAGTAAAGGTTCACTTATGTGTGTAGTGTTTATGCTTTTCAAAGACTATTTGTAAGCCAGGTGTTCACATTCAATCCCAGCACTCCACGTGGGATGCTGGACTTGGGCAGCACACACACACACACACACACACACACACACTAAATGCAAAAAAAAAGTTAAAAATCCCTATTTTAAAATATTGAATCAAAACATATCTAAAGCTCCTCAGAAAATTACATTATTTATTTATTTATTTATTTATTTATTTACTTAATTACTTATTTTACTGATACCAGGGATCAAACCCAGATCCTGGAACATGTTAGGCAACTGTTCTCCCACTGAGCTACATCCCAGCCTTGAAATCTTACTTTAAATTTTTTAAATTTATTTTTTATGTATATGAGTGTTATGCCTGCATGTGTATAAGTGCACCTGTGCTCTCCAGTGCCCAAGGAGGACAAAAGAAGGCTTTGGATCCCCTGGAACTGGACTTACAGACAATTGTTAGCATCCATGTGGGTACTGGGATTCAAACCCAGGTCTTTTGTAAGAGAAGTCAGTGATCCTAACCACTGAGCAATCTGACTCCAGCCCCTGATCTTACTTTTAAAAAAATATTTCATTTATTTTTATTTTATGCATATGAGTGCATTGCTTTCATATAGGAAGGTCCACCTGTGTCATGCAATGCCTGGAGAGGTCAGAAGAGGGTGTCTGATCCCCTAACATTGGAGATTGTTAGCTTATACTTAGAGATGATTGTTAGCTACCATGTGGTGTGGGCTCTCTCCCTCCCCTTGTGGGTTGTTGGTCACTGATTCATGAGAATAAAGGGAGCAGAAGCAACAAACGGGGTCAGGACGGCCAGTGAGCACTTCCGGGGAGCCCTTCGGGGAGGCAGATTCAATGATACAGCTCCAGACTCAGTGAAACAGCTCTGTTTATTCAGTGGGGGTCAGGGAAAATATAGTGTGGAGGCAGCAGCCAAAGCTTCAGCTGATAGGTGCTCATAGTATGCTTTATTTACATGTAGTAGGGGGATCCTATCATCCGACTACCAGGCAGTGCCTAATTATCATATAGAAAAAACCTGGGGGTAGTTTTTACTCCAGGTAACCATGCCAGGTCATGTTCCAAATAAAGTCAGGCATCGGTGCTTGGCAGCACTTTCCAGGTGAGTCAGGCAGGGGGCTTAGCCTTTGCAAGAGCAGTCAGTGCTCTTAACTGCTGATCCATCTCTCCAGCCCGAAATCTTACTTTTAATGTCAAAACAACAGAGTTAAACTTACTCAGCCTCCTTCCCTGACTGTTTAAACTTACTAACCTTCAGTACAAAACAGGGCTCGGTAGGAGTTTCACAATCAAAGAGGGCAGCAGAATATGTTTAAAGAATTTTTCTGGGGGCTGAAGAGATGGCTCAGCAGTTAAGAGCACTTGCCACTCTTCCAGAGGACCTGAGTTCAGTTCCCAGCACCCACATTAAGCAGCTTACAGCTGGCTGTAACTCCAGTTCCATGGGACCTGTTGCCCTCTTTAGACCTCTGTGAGCACTGCACACATGTGACACACACATAGACATATGCATAGACATGTAAAAAAAATTTTTTTTAAAGAATTTATCTGCCCCAAATCTCATTATCTCAGGACTTCAGTCTTCATAAAGGCAAAACTGACTGGCATAGTCAGTCCTATTTTCACAAACTCAAAACCTCAGGATCACTCACACTTCCCTTCTTTCTTTCCTGTCACTTCCAGTCATTAAATTGACAATTCTTCCTGAGATCTTACTTCTCCATCCCTCCACATACTCTCTACTCCCTTTTGTCTGTTTGTTTTGAGTTTGTTGTTGTTGTTTTGGGTTTTGGTTGGGTTTTATTTGTTTTTTTTGGTTTGGGTTTTTTTGTTTGTTTGTTTTTTTGTTTTGTTTTTGTTTTTGAGACAGGGTCTCCCTATAGTCCCTGCTAGCCTGGGACTGGCTATGTGGACCAGGCTGGCCTCGATCTCACAGAAGTCCACCAGCCTTTGCCTCCTGAGTGCTGGGATTAAAGGCATGTGCCACCACACCTGGCTGTTTTGAGCTTTTTGAGACAGGGTCTCACTAGGTAGCCCAGGCTGTCCTTGAACTTGCTATGTAGTTGCTATAAACTTGCTATGTACATTTTAAGTCACACTTACAACCCAGCCATCTTCCTGCCTGAAGTTCCTGAATGCTGGGATTACAGGTGTGCACTGCCACACCCAGCTCCACTGCTGTTTTTGTTCAGACCTTCACCCTTCTTGGTTAATAACCTCTTAATTTATCTCCTATCCTCCAGTAGTCCCTTCTTTCCTCAGCCTCTAGACTATCCTTAAATGATCTTTACAAAACCTACTAATAGAAGGAGTCGATAGAAACCTTCTGCCCCCAGCCAGTGCAGCATGCCCTTTCCTGAAGGAGAATTGGAGTAATATACCTTCATTTGTAACAGAATTTGTAACATTTAACAACGATAAATTAATATAGTTTCATTAAAAAAAAAAAGCTGATAAAGATTGGTTAACTTCTCTCTGCCTTAAAATATTTTATATTATTGGTGAGTTTATTTGTAGTTTTAATATTTTATAGTAAACATGGACTACTTTGGACAGTAGAAGGAGAATTGGAGTAATATACCTTCATTTGTAACAGAATTTGTAACATTTAACAACGATAAATTAATATAGTTTCATTAAAAAAAAAAAGCTGATAAAGATTGGTTAACTTCTCTCTGCCTTAAAATATTTTATATTATTGGTGAGTTTATTTGTAGTTTTAATATTTTATAGTAAACATGGACTACTTTGGACAGTAGAAAAAATTACATGGACTACTTTGGACAGTAGAAAAAATTAATATTTTTTAATTTTTTTTATATTTTTAAGCGAATGACTATCCTTATAATATCAAATTCCACCTTCTTTGTCTCACCACACTTGTCTCCACAGTTAGGCCCCAGCCTAATTGTCTCAACATTTCCTGTACCGCCTCACCAAATTCCATTTTTTCCCTATATCAGCCACAGAACATTATTTGCTTTTCATAAATTGGGCAGTGAACACCATTACGCATTTCTACATGCCAATCCCATTGGCTGCCTGGCTTCACCTTTCCTACACGGGCAGCTCCTCTGACTCTTCTAAGCATTTGGTTTCCACCTCAGTTCTATAGCAGTCTCTGACAAGTGCATGCTCTCTCTCTCTCTCTCACACACACACACTCACACACACACTCTCTCACACACACATACTCTCACACACACTCATACACACACTCACACATGCACACACTCACACACACACTCACTCACACACACACTTAAACACACACACACCACTTCATGACATTCCTTTGGGTTGAAATTTCCTCTTTTCAGGTTATCCTCACAGCTTGTCTGCTGAATTTTAGAATTCCTTTGTCATCTTCCATTTCTTCTTTCATCTTTTGTTCCCAGTAAATCAAAGGAATATGAAAATTAATAGCAAATTAATTTATTATCATTGAAACAAAATGTGAGGCCAGAAAAAAATATAGATAAGTTGAACGTGATCAAAATTTAAAACTTCGGAGACTCAGAAGTTAAAAGCACTTACTGCTTTGCAGAAGACCTAGGTTTGGTTCCTAGCACCCACACTGGGCAGTTCATAGCTGCCCATAACTCCAGTTCCAGGGAATCCATTGCATTTTTGGCCTATGCAGACACCTGCACTCTTGTGGAGCACATAAGCTCATGTAGGCATACACATACAGGTAAGTTTTTTTAAATAAATATTTTTTAACTTTAAATTTGGGGGCTAGGACTGTACAGTGGTAGAGTGCCTGCCTAGCCTGTGTAAAGGCCTAGGTTTGAGCTCAAGCTCCAACAAAAGAAAAATAAAAATCACAGAACACTATCTGGAAGCTCCCTTCAGCTGCACAAGTATTAGAATTAATAATACAGAGATTAGCATGACCCTAGTGCAAGGATACTTGCAAATTCATGAAGCATTCCATTGTATGTGTGTGTGAGACAGAGGGAGAGAAAGAGAGAGAGAGACAGACTCCCTGTAGCTCCAACTGGCCTAGAACTCACTATGTGGACCAGACTGGTCTTGAACTCACAGAGAGCTGCCTGCCTCTGCCTCCCCAGGGATTAAAGCCATGTGCCACCATGTCTGGCTGCATTCCATACATATAGGGGGAAAAAAAAAAAAAGAACACTATCAGGTTGAGGGTGTGGCTCATGTAGCTTAGGGGTTTGCTCTTGCCTAGCTTGCACAGGACCTTGGGATCAAGACCCAAGACTATAAGGGGAAAAATTAAAAGCCTCAGCAAAAATGAAGCCCATGAAATGTGAGGAAATGCTTGCAAATTACATATCAGATCAGAAATTAATATTCAGAATATATAGTGCTCATATAACTCAACAACAACAAAACAACTGCAAATAAAAACTGAGCCAAGGGGCTGGAGAGATGGCTCAGTGGTTA